GGGGACGGGGGCGCTGTGTGTAGCACGGGGGGGTGGCCGGGTGCTTTGCTGGCGACGCTGCCCTGAGTTTTCCTGCACATGGAAGGTGGCAGTGAGCAAGATGCCCCACCAGGGAGCCCTGGCCTACGTCTCTGCCCGTGTCAATGCTCTTCCCCAGAGCTGCCGGGCCAGGGTCTCCAGCCGCACTAGCCAAATATCTAAGCAGCTGGACTCCCCAAGGGGCAGAGACGCAGTGTATGGATTTCTCTGGCTCCATGCTGGAATCTCTCTTGATCAAGCTGAGCTGACGCTGGGTGTGCGGGCGAAGCCATAGATGGAGGGAACGATTCCTCTGGGTCCTTCACGGTCAGCGCAGCTGCATCTCCTGCGATGGAATTTGCGGGGGGAGGGGGAAATCTATAGTTTGCATTTCTGGCCCCTCTTGAGATCTGAGTTGCTTGGGCACTTCAAGGGCTAATTGATCCTGATTGTCAGTAATTGAAGCTCCTGGAGACTTACGGTCTTTTCCCTTAGCCATGGCGATACCTAGAGCCACTGGGCAGGATTAACTCTTCAGATGCTGTTGCGGGAAGCACTGGGAAATGACAGAGCCTATGCATGGACAAGGGGGCAGTGAGGGGAGGGGAGGCTGTGCTGAGGAGCGGCTGGCTGGAGAGCGGCTGGGAGAAGCCCAGAACCAACGGCTGCCCTTTGTCTTGCAGGCCTCGCCCACGGCTCTGGCGAAGTGCGTGCTGGCCGAGGTGCCGAAGCAGGTGGTGGAGTATTACAGCTACAAGGCCCTGCCGCCCCGGTGTCTCAAAGCCGATTCGCCCAACTCCACCCTCAACTCGCCCCAGTGAGGGACCGCCCCCCTCCGGCGCCCCTGCCCCGCCGTCGTCCCTCAGCCCGTTCCACGATGGACAAAGAAATAAAAGGCAAAGGAGAGCAAGAGTGTGTTGCTGTCTGAATCGTACAGGCTCCCCCCCGCAGCAAGCGCGGGGCCCCAGGCAGCCTCCCCCACCGCCCACACGCCACGCTGCACCCCCTGCCTCCCCCGGCCCTCTGAAGGACCCAGCCAGTGAGCTGAGCCAGCAATGCAAAGGCACATGGGAAGCGGGGCGGGGCGGGCATGCCTTGCTGGTTTCTCACTCGGGATGGGTCCCTGCTCAGTTTGACAATGAGCGGCCGGCTTCTGGGCGTGATGCAGTGACCTGGCCTTGGGTGCAGAGAGGTGGGTGTTTGCAGTGTGATGGAATCAGGCAGGCAAGGGGAGAGAGC